CCTGGTGGACACTAGAGAGAATGCAGGTTTAAGACACTTCAACACTGGCTTCACTTTTCAGAACCGGAGGTTACCGCCTGTACAAAATATTTGTTTATTGAACAAGAATAGCCAAAGTGATCAAATGTTAAACACAAGCAGCCGTACAAATACTTTGTCCCCCAAAGAGTCTAAAACATGATGATCTTTGGTTAGTTTTCAACACAAAGATATCGAAACTTTGCACATTGTACAAAAGCCTTTCAGTCAGCATCATAAAAGTCGTGCTCGAAACGTGGGACAAAAGCCAGCCCGCCCGTCCTCAGACGGCAGATTTGAGGCGAGCCCTTTAGGTCCAGCGTTCATGGGGAGTCCCGGGGATCTGTCCTGGGATTAGCAGTGGATTAGGTGGTTTATGTCGGATGTTGCCGCGGTTTTGCGGAGATTACGAGGAATTTGAGGACTGAACGGTTTCGGACTGACAGAGAGAGGAGGGACATCCGCTCGACGTTTTATTTATTAGAAAAGCTCAGTGAGAGAGTTTACAGAAGATCTTTGTCAGATTGATCCTCGGGTACCAGAGATTACTAGATATTGATGTCAGAGTGAGGAGGGGTCGGACACAACCTTCTGTCCTTGAAGCCCCCTTCCCCCCTATTTACTGACGTCATGACATTAAATCAAAAAGTACAAATCTGCAAACAAAATCCTCAATTTCAATAACGTAATCGAGCATAAACTGTTTTTATTAAATCAACTTTCCTTAATTCATATAACTTGTAAGTTTTGTCAACATAAATAAAATGACAGATGTTACTTTTGGACTAAATGACGTTCTGTTTTTAAATGTTTGGATCGGAAACAATCCCAAACAAACCACATCTGGAATCTAATTTTACAGTTTGTATAATACTAATATTATTAGTGTAGCCTGATGTTGATCTGCAGAAGATTGGTCGTAAGATTAATCGACTAATCTAAAAATATAGTGCAGAACAGTATGCACGTGAATAAGCCATGAAGTTAGACTCGGCTGTTTATAAAATGTGTCAAGAGAGAAGATCTTGGGCTTGTTAAAATCTAAAGGGTTCATCTTCTGGGGAGCAGGAATGAAATGGGGACTTTTGTTTATTACATTATAATATTTAAGGTGTCAGTGTTGTCGTCTCTAACAGACCACACCGCTCATGAACTTTCCCCCGTGTGCAGGTCCAGCTCTGCACATTGCCACGGTGGACATCAAGAACCCGGAGATCAACAACGTTCGATTCCACCACAACTCCCACATCCACCAGCAGCCTCCGTACCACCTCAACAACATGCTGAGCCACAGCGGGCTGAACAGGAAGGACAAGAAGAACAAAAGCAAGAAGAAGAAGCTGACCAAAGCCGACATCGGCACGCCCAGCAACTTCCAGTGAGTCACTTTTACAAATGTCCAAAACTCAAAGATATTCAGATTACAATGATTATGAAATCATCTCATCGGAGAAGCTCAAACAGGCAAATATACTGGTATATCGATGTCTGAAAAATGACTCAAACAATAAATAAATGATCAAAAGTCAGTTGACTTTCAGTTCATTAGCTTATTGTTTGAGCTCTAGTCCAAAAGAGACGGAGTAAAGAGAGGAAAGTCAAACTCCGAAATGACTGGATCTTACATTTCCCAAATGCAACTCATTAGGTGTCTTTCATTAGACGCTCGCTCTCAAAAACACATCGGATGACTTGAAATGTGGTCATTAGGGATGTAATGTGTGTGTGTGTGTGTGTGTGTGTGTGTGTGTGTGTGTGTGTG